TAACTATATGTTTCCTTAAAGTAGAAAGGCGCAAGACTTTCCCTACATTCCCCACTTTTCTCAACAGAGTTGAATCGCCAATCGATTTATTTATATGCCCAATTCTCAAGCCATTTTTGTGCCATACATCGCTTGCGATACAAAGATATATTAAGTGTGTGTGGATGTATGCAACACTCGAAAAGACTTGAAATACATACGCGCTTCGATTTAAAATCACTTTCTGAATCTGATACCCTCTTGCCTATCCGTCTGCCCCTCTTCCTTCCCCGTGGTTAACCTGCAGGTCGCAATTTTTAAAACATTTTTATGAAATTTGGTACACTGACGTGTTTTGGCACAAGGTCGCACGCTATTGAAAATGATTCAGAACGGACTCTTTTTGGTCCACCTCCTTTATAACGCCTTACTTCGAAAAGTCATTATATATATAATCGTTTTATAAGAACTGATGTAGGGTATTTGAAAGTTGGCTGTGGCTTGTTGTGGTTACACCTGAGTTCGATTTTTAAAAACGAAGTCAAGACATTTTGAGCAGATTTAGCTATAATTGCTTATCAGCGCATTTTGGGCGGATCGATCCCATCCTGCCCGAATTTTGAACAACATAAAATCTCAAAAGATTTCCGCAAAATTAGATTTTTTGATAAGTCCGGATGTCACAGGTCACTTCAGCTTTTGGCTAATGAAGCATGCGAGACTTTAGTAGCCAGTTGATGACTGAACCACAGCCACTTACTAGGCGTGTATTTGTAAGATCAAACAGAGAAGAAGAAAACGTTTCCGATACAATGTATCGGTAACATTAGGCGCGGGATCCTAACGATCTTTTCGATTCCACTTCCAATTTTCAAGATATCCTTAGTTTCTAGACAACTCTTAAGTCGATTTGACTGTGGTGTTTTAAAATCACAAATTGCAGAGACCTGTATGGTCATAACAGTCATATTAAAAGATAAACTAAAGGACATAGCTGAATTGGTTGTGCTATAGGCGCTGAACAGGAACAAGTACATGAACAGTTTACGGAGTTTCTACTACGCGTTACAATTATGTGATAAAAATAACATACATAACAGTCGCAATGCATATAAACAAAAGCTTGCAAGAAAATTAACGACAATATTGTTGATTTAAATAAAATCACAAGTAGTTGACAATATGTGCTAACGATTGGGGTGTTTAAGTAGCAATGGCGGTAGTTTAAATAACAAAATGTTTAGTATTTAATTATTATGCGTTGTTTACACGCTGCCCACAGTTGTAGTTATAATTATTATTATTTATTTATGTATTTTTTTTTTAAGTAACTTTTTCATTTTATATTAAAAAATGTGTTGTTGCTATTGTAAATGGAAGTGCGTGTGTTCATCATGAAAGCATTTTTGTAGCCGCTATAGCAGATATATTCAATCTATCCACATTTTGTACGGTTTGCACTGCGAAGAAATACGTGTCTATATACTATAAACGAAAAATTTTATAAAGTCTGCACATAGAGGGCTCTTCTGTCACTTTCTCTGCTTAATCATTCGCGCTATCTTCCTAGTTTAGAATATGCAAAATTATTTGAAATTCTTTTCCTTACACTCATCAAAAGGAGTTTTTATCAGACCATCATAGGTTTTGAAAAATATAAATTAATTACTTACAAGAGCGTTCCGTTAAATTGAGCTTAGAGGAAAGACTTGTCTGCAAAGTAACCGAGAGAAAAAATTCGTAGTTCCTTTCTTAGAGACTAGTTTTATGAATTTTTTTTCAATTTCGACATATTCCAGTCAACATTTTCGTGTTGTGGTCGTGCAATTTGCAAAAATGCACGAAATGTCATATTCTAAAAGAAATATGGGAGAGGTCAAAGATAATAGGGATTTCGAAAAGGAGCCCTGTACACTGTAGGGAGGTTTATTCAATGCCCTAAGTTAAATGAATAACTATCTTAAAAACCTTACACTTACGCAATACATCACGCTTAGGGAATATTATCTCACTGCTCTAGGTTAGCTAAAGCGATAGATTTACATCACAAGATGTTGACTCTCGCATAATAACTTTACAGTGTTATTGGGTGGAGGGTTTCTTCCTCTCTACAAGCATAAGTAATTTCAAAAGCCAGCAAAATTGTCAAATTCCTCCATCTAATTGAAAGGGTGAGTCCTGAGTAACATTTGTCCGCCATGTCATGTTCACTGCTTGCAATTCTGTGTTTCAATCGCAACAATCCGAACAGCTTTATGAGGGAAATATATATCAATTCGATTTTTTATACAGACATTGCCATGCCCACGTATGAACACTATTACAATATTACAATAACCGATTACTGGCGCTATCATTGTCATCGAAAACGAATTGGAATAAGTAACAAACGTTCTTAAAACCTATAGCCGTCTTTTAATTAATGGATGGACTTTAACAACTTGAAATGTCAAAAGTAGTTAAAGCAAACGTCGCCACTTAAGGTCAAGAAGCCTGTACAGAAACGAGCCTTTAGTAGTTATTTATATTTTAGAAGATTCAAATTCATGCATTTGTAATTAATATTATCCCTGTTATTGGGCTTAATAATTTAAACAAGTTTACTGATGTGTGAAAGTTTTTTGAAGTTCTTAAGTGTTCATCCAAGAAATATTGAATGTGGAATGGTAGAAATAAGGAAAGTAATGTACTTATGAAATAATGAATTGTTATTTCTGATTTGCTACGAAAGCTTAACATTTTTTAGACAACTTAATATTTACAATAAAAAAACAACCGGAAATCAAACAAGCGGTAGGAATCACACGAATCGGTTGCAACTGAATGTAACTTCTGTCTTTTTCTATGTATATCTTAGGTGTATATATATTAGGTGTGCAAACAAATTTGTGCCGTTGTTTGATAATCAACTTTATTTATTAATAATCAATATATTCATCATCAATATCTGTAGTCTCTAGCCATTTATCGGATATCTTATGGATGGTCACCGCGGTAGAAGGTTTGCCAGTTTGGATGCGAAATGGCCATCGACCTTTCTACGCAGATCTTCAACTTCTGTGAACCGCTGACCTGTTAAGTATGACTGGCGATTTAAATAAGTGGCAATCAAAACAGACTATTTCTGGAGAACGTAATGAGTGCGGTAAATCTTCTTAACCTATTATGAAAATTATTTTCTTGACCGCTTTTATGAAGCAATCAATTCCAGCGGAAGGAATTTATTTGTACACCTATTATATATACATATATACGATTTTATACAAACAAATACGTTTTATCCCGTTTTCATAGCTTTACTTTAGTGTACAAAATCAATCGTCGTTTATTTCAGTTCAAATATGGAGGGAGGCGTGTGCGGAACACATACATGCATGTGTGACGGATCAATTGGCCATAAAGTCAAACACTTGTACAAAAAAAAAAAAAATAGCAAAAAAATTAAACTCTAACCAAATAGAATAGTTAGTTAATCAAGAAATTTTATAAATTTATAGTTATACGAGGGCCCAAGTAATATTTTTGTTGTTGCTGTTTAAATTGTTATTTAAAATTGAACAAACTTCCATACTTACGCATACGTGTTTATATGCGTGCATGTATGCACAAGTGTATAAATATTTCATGTCTATTTACAGCGAATTATTATTGTTGTATTGCGGTCTTATGAGAGAAATGTGTTCTATTTATTAATTTACACACGGAAGTATTCACAAATATTAACACAAAGTAAATATATTTACTTAAAAAGAAATTATTTTAAAAATAAATTTTTAATTAAATGTTATTTCTCTCTTTAAGCTATTTTTAAAATTAATATTCAACATCTATCAAAAATGTATCAAAAGTTTTCTCTTTACTTTTTTCTATTCATTAATTATGCTTTTTTTCACTTTAACACATAAGTTTTGCTTCTTTTTCTTTCATTTCAAATAAATGTCTTTCGTTACGTATCTACGTTTACACACACCGGAATTAAATAACTGTTATTAATAATAACGTGTGTTATTTAAAGTAAACATATCTTACAAACAAACAAAAGGAAACCAATTAAAACAATCAGCTGGAACATAAGTGTAGCGCGTATTGAAAAATGTTATATATTTTAGTTATGAACTAGTGTTTGCAGAATGAATAAACGGTATCAAGTTTTTTAACAGTAAGCTTTTTTTTTCCATTACGAAATATTAATAAATAAGATTTATTGGCAACGCAAGAATGAGTTTTTCTGTTTACATTTATATAGGTTTTAACTTAAACCCGCTATCAGCCCGGCTAGCTCAGTCGGTAGAGCATGAGCCTCTTTCTCTCAGGGTCGTGGGTTCGAGCCCCACGTTGGGCGTTCGTTTTTGAATTGCTTTTTTGTTTTTTATAAAACTCAGCACAGTCGGTAAAACATGGTGGACTGACATGAGGGCCTTTTTTTAAAGTAATTTTTTCTTTTTGTAAAACACTTCCCAACCATTTGTTTAAGTAAGTAAAAATATTATAAAACATACAAATATGAATTAAGTTCGTATAGCTTTTTCAGAGTAGAAGATCAAGAACAACAGTTTTGTTTAAAAATTTTCAAATTTAAAAGAAAAATTTCTGACTGCTTACTCGAGTTTGTAGACTGACAGATGGAATATATCAACTATTTTCGTCCAATTCAGTAATTGTAGACAGACATGTTTTAATTTATCTTAAAAAACGGTTTAAATGATTTCTTATCCATTTAAAGTTCCATGAAATCGATCAGCATTTGCTGGTATAAGGATAAATTTGAACTCGGAAGCTAATGAGAGTTCAATTCAATTGAAAACGTACTGTGGTACTTGTTCGAATTGTGAAAATGTCTTTAAAACGTACTTTTCGCATAATACGAAATCATTCGTCTGTGCCTTTAGCCAGATAGCATAACTGACAATTTCAATTTCATCTTTTGACATTTACCTTTGATACGGTATGAAAAGCAGCCAACTTCATTCACACTAACTAAGATTTTAATTAACTCAGTGTTATTAAAGAAAAGCAACGCAAACGAAGGTTAGGACGCGAAACTATTGACCGATTGAATGCTTTTTGTGAAACGATATTTGTATTTATCTAAATCATAAGAAATTTAATTTAATTTAACAAATTATTGAAGCAAATTGAAAATTATTGATACAAAGAGCTTTGCATATAAACATATTAAAAAAATAAGTAATAATAATACAATTACTTAAAAAAGAATTTAGTAAAAATGTGCGGTGGTTTCACTTGTTCAAAAAATGCATTAATTGCGTTAAATATTTTGTATGTGGTAAGTATAGACGAGCGAGTGACTGTGTCTATTGGTTTATATGTATATTGAACCATATGTAATTTGAATTTCTTTATATACAAAAATATATATAGATATGTACATATATGGCTAAAAGTGTATACGATTTGTTAATCTTGCAAAAATTCTTCTGTACGTAAATGATAGAAAACACCAGACGGACTTTAGGGGAACGAAAGGAACAATTTTCGTATTTTTGAAGAATTGAAGAGGAAAACTTAAACGAATAATCAATTTAGTAAACAAACTGTAGAACCACATAGTTACCCACACGTACATACATACATAAATATATGAACACATATATATAAATGTTAAATGTTTACAATGTCTAATGCAGGCGGAATAAAATACCTTAATGTAATGTAAGTGATTTATAAGAAAATTACCAAAAAAGCAACTATGGAAGCAACCTTGATATAAATGAACCTTTACAGTGACCGCTTATCATTTCTCTAATGTTTATGTTTAAGTCGCTGTTCGATTCAATTTCTTTTCTTAGAAAATAAGCTTAAACGTGATATTTTCACATATATACGCATTATATTGATTAATATATTTTACTGCAAAGTACTCTTCACTATGTTTTTATTAACAACCCTTCAGTACAAAATGCTAAGGCATTGATCAGTTTGCTTCGTTTTGCTTACTTAAGACAACTATATACACATTTACTTACGTCGTCTGCTTGCAAACCGTTTTCTTTGTTATATACACTACGCATTAGCACTGTTGTGGCGGCTGTAACGCGTCAGATATTTCGAAAAGCATTTTTATCTACTTTAGCTGCACAATTCGGTCCCTCTAATGTCTCTTGTTGACGTTGCAACGGCTGCAATTAACTCCAGACTTATTTGCTGGCATCTAATAAATGTGAATTTTATTTATTTATTTATTTATTAATATATATATATTAAATACCATTTTGTATTAGCAGAAGTTCTGCGATACCCAGAACAGATAGCTAAAGGAAAGTGAGTTTAAAACAGATAGTTACGGGGTAGAGTACCCAGTTAATGAATTTTTGATAATTGTACTTCCTGGCTGCATGTCAATATGTCTACAGCATAATCTTATAGCTACCCGAGACACGGGGATAAGAACCAAAGGTAACTTGGGAAAAGAGCGAAAGTGAAGGAATCAAGCCTCAATTTTTCTGTCGCCGTCTTTGCTTTAAAATAATTTTCTCTAATTTTATAAAATCAATCCTAGATAAGCATTTTTAGAAAAGTAGAGACATTATAGTGGACCGCCGCTCGCAATATCACACTCTGCGGTTATTCAAATAAAATAAAGCGTTATATGGGAAGTGGTTGAAAAAATGGTCCCGTCCAAGGCATTTGCAATAGGGCCCGTCCTTGGGACAAAGTACGCCAGTGTGTCAAAATTCGTAAAAATATTTCAAAAATTGTAGTCCGTGTGTAGTTTGAATACAACACGGGAAATCGGTCAGACAGACTGACAGATAAGCTTGTAATTACTTTCTTAATCGGAACGCGAATCTATCTGAAGACCACATACGTCCGGGCAAATTTAATATATCCTCGTGCTACAAGTGGTGTAGTGTGTAACAATAAAAATTCGAACCTTAAAGAAGGAAAAGGAAACAAAAAATAAATATTTAAATCATTTATGCATTAATTTCTAGACTACGGCTATGGATTTGAAATTTGATTGCTTTTGAAAATAATCCCAAATTGACTTTGCAAACGCGTGCGTGATTAGTTAAATCTTAATACACATATTTATCTTATCTTAAGTAAAGGCTATTAGAGATTCGCCTTGATCTATGTCTCATATATATTATAAACTACGTAACTTAACGTATCTCATTTACTTACCATGCATTTCTCTCTCTTTTTTATTTTTTTTTTTTTCAATTCTTTTGGTACTGTTTTCTGTTTTTATTTCTCTCTAATGACAAACACAGATGGTGGGTTTCCTCTTGATTGGAGTTGGCGTCTATGCTCGTGCTGCTTCGATTGTTCCAAATTTACCTATTGTTGGCGGTATTTTAGCATGTGGTATAATCTTAATATTGATTTCCATACTCGGGTTGGCTGGTGCTGTTAAACATCATCAAGTTATGCTGTTCTTTGTATCCTTTTTTGAAACAAAAACAAAAAAATTTTTTTGTTTTTTTTTTCTTGACAATTCCTTTGGTTAAAAAGGCAGGAGGTAAAAAAAAAGAATCTTAACCTGAAGGTATTCAAATGTAAAAAACTAACTATGTCATTGATGGTCATGTAGCTATTCACAAACACTTTACCTAAAATTGCAAGAGGTGTAGAAAGAAAGGAAGAACAATAACTTAGCCTAAAGTTATTCAAGTTTAAAGGACTTGACAACTATGCCATTGATAGTTACACAGCTAATAGCATGTTCACTAAAGTGCTTAACACAAAAGCATTGAGAAAGAGGAATAATATTTCGCTTGAACGTTTAGTACACACTTATTCACTATATTCTGATTAAAGAATAGAAAGAAAGATCTGTTCGCTCGACATACTTGGTACATCGTGTCGTATATCTTGCTGCTCAATTTTTTTTGCGGTACTATTTAACAGAATCTTATTAGTAATCGCTTAACCTATGATGAGTTAGTTCACTTAATTTGGATCTGGTGAACCGCGAGACACTGTAGTAGATTTTTGAACTTGATACTGATACGTTTCTAAGAAGATATTGATATGTAACTTGAAAACTTTTAAGTTTGAACAAGAGACGATAATCGTCATTTCTTTTCAATTATGACTGAACTTACAGATCTCCTTGAGGCGAAGATAAGAAACATACGAAACAAAGTCTTGAAGCTGTTAAGAAAGGCTCGAAGTGGGTCAAGAAATCGTTACTAAACAGAAGAATAGACATACAGACGTACCCAACTGGAAGAATTGCGCTACTCGCACGGCTTTTGCCATTTTAATTGTTTACAATAATGTGACAAAGTTAATCAAATTATTTAATGTATTTCTCCGTTTATTCTATGACGAGGCAATAAAAAAGGGGAACATTCTTTCGGTACGTATGGGGAGAGCTAAATCCCAACTTCTTCCGGACAACTGTTTAAAGTCCTAATCATAATTTGGAGAGAAAGGTAGAAGCCAAGCGAAGAAAGCAAAAAGATGAAAGGTGAAAAAAACTTGTTAAGAATGGGTAGACTTTGCCTTATATGGTCGTCGATGCACAGTCTTTAAATGCATTTCCAAAGTTTTGCACTACCTCCTCTCTGATGAACATAAGAAATGTCGAGATAGCATTGAAAGTGCTATGTTGCGATGCTCCTCCTACTCTACTTGGCTTTGACAGCTTTTTCATCTTCTATGTTGTTATACCAAATTTTGTTACTTCGCGATAACGCATATGATCGGAGTGGCTGCAGTTTAGGTAAGCAGGATCGCTATGGAGGCCGCGACTCCTTTCTCCGTGAAAAAGAAACATTATTTAAAGTCACAACCAACTCCGTGAACTTTTTTTATAGAGAAAATTATATGTCTTCGCATTCGCCCCTAGTGCTTACATTCTTTGCATCTTTGTAAGTCTGTCCATTTGCCACTTTCAGAGCGATAAATGTTCTATCGACTAAAAACTTTATACCTTTGAAGAGTATATGCGTACATTATAGGATCTCTAATAAGTAAGTAATCCTAACGATTATAAGAAGCAAAAGGCACTGGCTAGGTGTATTCCTATCACGCCAGTAATGGTGTACCACTTCCTGTAAAGTACATTTTATTGAAACCTTTTTTGAGACAACAATTTTATGTTTTCTTATATAAAGAAATTCCATTTAATGCAGAATTTTCGTAATTTAAAAGAAACGAAAAAAAAATGAAAAATAGTTCGTTCTCTCATTGCCCGCAAATATGTCAACAACAAAAGATGTTACTTTTTTTTTTATTTTTTTTTATTAAAATAAATAATTACACAAAATCGCTTAATATACATAAAATGAGGTTATATTTATGCTACGCAATCATCAAGGTTATCACAAATGTTTTTAATTCAATGATGTTGTTGTCATAATAACATTTAACAAAAGAGAAGCAAAGCACAAGAACCTATTCATAAAGGAAAATAATTATATTTTCGGTAACATCTTCGCCGTTACATTTTTTTCTTCTATCTACATACATACTCATACATCGCTATATACGTACATGCAAAAAAATAAAAAACATTCTTGAAAAAATAATTTTCATTATGGAAAAACAAGCAAGAAAATCTTCCTAAAAATCATTTCAAGTAAAAGAAATGAGAAATGGAAGAAAAATGATTTCAGAATTATGATGCAAAAGTTGCCATTTGAAAAATTCGAAGAATCCATTTAATTCAACTTCTGGCAACTGACTCGAACGATACAATAGAGACTTAGAATAATACACATACCGTACACGCCTCATCGTTAAGAAAGCACTTATCCTCAATCAACAAAAAAAATAGAATCCAGATTGCGTTGTTAGGCCACTTGGGATCATTTTTACATTATGTTATAGTTTTCTTAAATTCTGAGTCGGTATCTGCGATAAGTTATGAATTGTTCAGAAAAATACGCTCATGTTCGTTTCCACTGAAATTGCTTCACGATCTTTGTGTATTCGAAATTCTAACGATGGAGAGTCAGATTAAACAAAGAATATCGATATTTTTGAATCTTTCTTTCCATTTCAACTGAACGATCGCATTACGGAGAAGAATGTAAAAGCAAGGGAAATAGATTCCAAAATTACTTAGGCAAGCGAGGTGGGAATGACATTTGTGTGGGGCAAAGCTGAGGTATAACCTCAACTCATAGTAATAAATTTCAATTCGCGAGTTTATACATGAATATTCCGTGCATTTAATTAATCTTTCGCAGATGTTCGTAGACCATATGTTGACAGTGTACTCCTTATACCAAATCCATCGCCGACATAGAGTTGACGTTATATTATTTTAAAATTATTCATTAGTTGATGGTGGGTAAAAGAAGAAAACTAGGAGCGCAAAGGGTCAAATGCACGAAAATGATATAATAATAAATTTGTTGACCTTTTTATTATTGGGTAAATATCGGTTAATCGTCAATTTTAACCTGCAACCATAGGTAAAGCAGGGGCTAAAATAATGCCTTAGCTTTCTTCTCGTCGTATATAAATCAAAAACAAAAACAAAAAATGAGAAACAATCTCTCATGTATTAGGTGCGTAAAGAAAGCCAACCGTCCATTTGATAGTTGGAATCTTATTTCTTAAGTTTATCTTACGATAACATGGAGTTAATGAATTTGCTGAGTTTGTACACAATGATACATTACGGGCAAGTTGGACGTGGACTGAGTAAAAAAATGGGGCATTGGTTGCTAAAATACCATTTAGCGCAACGAATGCAAGGCAAGCAACGCTTGAGAAATAGTCCGTGATCTCAGTCCTACAGTCCAATTCAACTAATTTTCGTCTCTAATGATAGCAGCTTCCATTCGCTTTAATATGTCAGGCATAACGCGATATCTTTTTAATATAAGCAATCACTCAGGGAATGTCTCCTATCCGTGTAACACATTGACTGTCCCAAAAAAGGGAAGAAGGAGAAAGAGATAAAGTGTTATGTCGTTGCCGGCAAGCACTCACTACAGCTACGACTAAAAAAAACTCTATCCGGCTTAAGATTTGGACCTGTGAACACTGCTGTCTCGGCTAGTCAAGCGGACAATCTCGACATATAGCTTTTGCTCAGACGGCAATACCGGTTGTTATAGTGTAACTTTTTTTATCAACCAAAACATAACAATTGCTATTGCAGAGTAGGAGCCTGTAAGAGGAAAAATGCACATCGTTTGAAAACTTGACACAGATGATAGGAGACACAGATAGACGGACGATCATGCTTTCTCTCTATACTTCACATGACCCTAGTGAGCGGAAAGACGTTTAAAGCCCGACTTGAGCCCGCGATTTTATACTATTTTTAAATAGATGTTTGGACACTGCAACTACACTATATGGCGGAGATAAGAAAAAACCTTTTCCTGATAACTTGAAGTTCAAGCTGACTTGTCGCCTAAATATCTATTACCTAAGAATGGAAGTATACGGGTTTGTTAGAAGGTTGGCACAGGGAAAAACTTTAGGAACTCAACAAAGCTTGTATAGTCTTAGTCGATTTTGCCGTGTCTGTCCGTCTAACTTTGTGAATGCTCGGGAAATTTTGAGATATAGCGTTGACCTTATGCTTTTAACATTAGTAGCACTTGCATTCGATTGGTATTTGAAGTAGACTAGAACAGCTAGCGAAGCGACACGCCTACAGCACACGCATAATTCTTTCCAAAAGCAAGAAAATACGCATTTTTTCTTATTCTCATTGCTTTGTAAACTACAACCGATGTAATCATAGAAATGTTCATGGTTCGTATAGAAACGCATAAAATCAGCCACGCCCACGTCCTAGAGTAGAATATGGATATTTCGTTTGCCTTGCTTTTCTTTTAACGTTGACGGATATAAAACATTTCAGTCACATTCAAATATAATTTTCTTACTTATTCTCTTTTGCTTATGCTTTTCGCGATTGAGAGACTCGTTTGAATAAATCAAAGGAAAATTATCGCCAAGAATAACAAAAAAGAAAAAAAAAAGTCCCGAACAGATAAAAGTTCATAACTGGCAATGATCTCCCACTGTGCCCGATAGAGAAAATATTTTTATTTTTAAATAAATTTTATTATAAAAATCTAGGACAATTTCAATATGCGTATAGCTTTGTTTGTTGGAATTGAATTTTCCATTTTAAGCATTTGCGTCACAGCAATAAAATGAAATCTAACTGAGTGCATTGGGGTTATAGAACAATGCACTCGTGCAAAGCGATTCCTAATTTTTAGGCGCACAAAACAAGAGAGGGCGACCTTTAATAAGCCAAACTTATTGCGTCTATGTATAATTACTTATCTGAAATTTCCATAATTTTCTCGTTTACTCGTATTTTTTCACGCGCACTTATATCGCAACGCAAGAGTTGTTGTTGTATTGTAATGCTTTAAGAGAACTTACCTTCGCTTATATGTAAACGCGGACGTAAATAATATTTTGCAAACATTTTGCTTTTCCATTTTCGTAGGCAAATTGAGTAAATGATATGCACTGTTTATAGCAAGAATGTTATAAGGAAAATGGAACTTGATGGACTTTAGCATTTATGTGTCACTAGATTCATTAGTGGTCCTGAAATGGAAGAAAAGAAGAACGAAATTTTATTAGGTTTTGAAGAGCATTTGCAATGGCAGCAAAGATCGGATATAACCTCAACATTGGCTTATTAAGTGATCTGAAGACATTTTGCCTTTGAGATTTTTCTCGATTTTCCCATTAAATATTTTTTAAGTTTATTAATACAATCGAAAAAGAAAAAATTGATTTTTATTAATTGACTCCCAAAGATTTGTTCCTCCGAACGGTGTTGTCATGGTTTTTACTTTAACTTTGCTCATTTGCACGCATGCATGCAGTACATGATTGTACTCTTTTTACTTTTCCTCATACAATTCTCAATTGCCAGCTCTTGTTTAGCGGTGAATTCGGAACAACAACAAGAATTCGCCGAAGAAGGATGGAATCGCGTTCCCGATTCTATGCGTAAAGAGGTGCAGGATACATTTCTGTGCTGCGGCTTCAATTTGACCAGCGTATCGAGCAACGATCCTTCTTGCGAATTAATTCAGAAAGAGTGCTGCTCTGGCATAGCTGGGAATTGTCAGTGTCCACCTTGCTTGTACAAATTAGAAGATAAAATTAATTACGCCTTCAAATTGTGCGGCGGCCTGGGTATATTCTTCAGTTTCACTGAGGTAAGTGATAACTGGAAACTTTTTTTTATATAGTTTTTATTATCTATCTAACGATATAAACTTTATTCCATTTTGTTTTTGCGAAAATTAATATGCTTACCTATCACCCCCCACCAGTTTATTGGTGTTTGGCTAACAGTACGTTACCGTAATCAAAAAGATCCTCGTGGTTTGCCCAGCGCCTTTCTTTAAATTTTCATTTTTCTCATATATTGATTATAACTTCTTTAAAAGAAAACGTTTTGTTTTTCTTTTTGGATCACAATACTTTCTTTCCTTTCAATCTTTTACTTTCTTTGCTTTTTGTTTCTTTTTTGTTTTTATTCATTTTCATTTAACTATTTCACCATGTATTCACTGAAGCATTGTTCGCAATTTCCTTAATGGATTTTTCACACTATTATTATTACTATTATTATTATTATTATTATTAATGTAACGTCATTATATACACAGATATCAATATCTACATATATACATATATATTATTATATACTTACTTATGTTTAAGCAAAGCTAACTCTTAGTTCTTAAGTCTTCAATTAATCATAATTTTCGAAAGCAGCCTTCGTGAGCATTGAAAAGTGCAGGGATTTATAATGAAAAGGTCGTCGGGAAAACTTACTTAAACTTGTTCTCTTCTAACTAAACTAAAGGGCTAAATGAACACATTCAACCGCAAGTTATGTAAAAATTTTGGTGAGCACTTCCATTTAATTATTAGTAGAGATTACCGATTTTTTTCATTTTTTTATAATTTATTCGCTTTTTTCTTTTCTCTTCGGCGTTTGCTACATCCGTCACCTAAAGAAGTTAGCGTAATACCTATACGATATCTAAAGTATAGTGAAGATGTAAACAAGAATGTGAAGCGACCTTGACGAGTTCATATATGCCTTCGTTTGCATAACATTGTAAAGGCAATCTAAAGATAGTTGTGTAGTCAGGACAACTGAAGTTAGGAAACAAGTCAACGAATCGCCAACGAAAATGCCTAGGATACAAAGAGGAAACTTCTTGACTAACGACAAGTAGAAGGTGGAAGTACTGGTTAACGGAAATTTTTCGATGTTGAAGTCAAGTGGCGTTGAACATTCGCCTCAAAGTATATGAATGCAACATAACCGACCAAAACCTGAGGGATATAATAGAGTTATTCTTGCATTGGTTACACTGAAAAATATGCCACACTTTCAATCCTGATTACTCCCGATTCTTGATTAGCATAACATTCTTAATCGGCTTAGACAGTCTGCTTACCTATCTCTTTCTAAGGCTTTGGTTTTGTTGTTGAAATAGGCACTTTTACATAAATTGAAGTAATCACATATGCTATGCCGTATGCTGTCTTTGCTAACGGATTCAAATCACGTCTTAAAATAATTGCGATGCTCTCATAACGGCATTCAAAATAGACAAAGGACTACAGATAGCAGTCCAGGCCAGATATGAACTGAAACGTTGAGGCAAGTAAGTGCGGTATAATCCAGAATAAGAATGCCGCAGCCAAAGTTATGAAAATACTTTCGAACCCATCAGTCCAAAGGGATAAAGTCTCAAAGTTACGCTCCAAGATTTCTTTCGTATCTTCTTCTTTCATATCATAACTTTCACATCTTCCAGCAAAGAAAGAGGAAAGCATACAACTAACAATAAGCATCAAACACTTGTTAAAATACAAAAATTCTCCATCCGATCCTTCTTAGTCGAGCACAGACAAAAGGCCATAGCTTACAATCAAATTAAAATGAAGCCATTTTCGAATATCTCCCATATAAAAGTTTAATATCGTGTTGAGAGATCGCGAGAATCATTCCAAGGCTCGTATAAGTTTCTCCTTCTAGTTTCTTTTATTTGTTTAGCTTGGCAATACGCAAATTTCCGGTAATTGCGATATGCTTTCTTCCCTCTTCTTTCTCAATTGAAATAATAGGAAGAAAAGATAGCAGAAGATTGAAATTCCTTTCGTGCCATCCCGGTAAAAATTTATTTAGCCCTTAACAAACTACACTACTAGCTTAACGTCGAAATGAAGTAATTAAATATTATTTTTATATTAATATTTTTTCTCGATTCACTAATAATCAACTCGTTCCTTATGACCAAGAGTGACTGTAGTACTCGGAAGCCAGACTTTTACAGAATTCAACTTGATTTGTGTGCGGGAGAATTTAAAGTGGAGCAACAACAGATTGAAGACATTCAATATTTCTTCTACTTGGGTGGCATAATAACAATAATTAGGAGATCGAAAAATTACGTTGCGCACCGTACAGCCAAGAGTCAGACAAGCCTATAGTCAGTTTAACTCTGTGTGGAAATCCCATCTTCTCTCCAAACGCACCAAAATTAATATCCTTCACAGCTGCATGAAATTAGTTGCGGCCTACTCCAGCGGATCATAGAATGCGGCTCGTGGTAATCTTAAAGCTTTCCAGGTATCTATCAACAGTCGCTCAGTTCTCGCCAAACACCATTAGTAACGAACAACTACGGGTCGGAACCGAACAGATATCAATTGAGTCCGAAATAAGGAAGCCGAAATGGCGATGAATGGAATATGCGGAGACAAACCGATATCACCAAAAACGCAACATACTAGAATCCCCAAGGCAGTCGTAGGAAGGCCCGGCCAAGTTACACCTGCTGCCAACAGCTAGAGGTGGAACGAATTGAAGACCGTAGCAATCGTTAAGCAGGAAGGGAAAGCAATCGTTGCAACGTTCATCAGGAATTTGTATATATATACCGAAGAAGCATTCAATGTTATAAGTGGCAATCATAGACACTCGTAGCTCGAGTGTCCCTTTAGTATCTCACAAAAGATGAAACCGTGACTTGGGAACATTGCTGTAAATCGTTCAAACTAAGTTGGATGGCAAAAGCCTGTATAAGGCTTAAAGCGCAAACTACTTTGAATACCTTGACTTACAGAGGCAAAAATATAGTTCGTTGCGTTCATAAAAAATAATTCCTGAAGATTGGTGATAAGGTCTTTGAAGCTCATCATAAATAAAATCAAGCTTGACTGTCAAAAAAGCTTTCTTGTTAACAATAAAGATGTGACAACCTTGATGATTCCAATAATCTCAAGCTTAATGTTCATAAGTATATATCTGTTTGGATGAGCAAAAAAAAGAAACCCAAAAATCGACTTCTTCATATTTGTAACGACAAAGCAGTTTGAAAGCAATTAATTTTATACCTATAACGATAGTGAGATGAACTAGACGCATGGACAGACATTTCAAAGCCCTTCCGCAACCGGACTACGACGAACCTACTCACCACCAAGAAACTCTTAAACTATATCTTAGGCTGAAAAGCTCTTCTGTAGCCATCGTGGCTATCGTAAGTCCTTCAACTTTACGGAACATTTGAATTTTCTTTTCGACATGGGTCATATAAGTTTTCATCATATGCTTTATATAAGATTTAAGGAAATTTCACCTAACCTTTTATAACATCTGCAAATGGAGCTGACAACAGTTTCTTGTTATCATCGACTGTGGTGTAGGGTATTACCAATCATACTTTGCTCTTTTTTTTATGAAAACAAAATTTTTCTTTTATAGACATATTTTAATAACATTTCTTTTATATTTTTTTTTCAGCTGCTTGCCGTCTTTTTAGCTCGTCGTTATCGGAATCAACAAGACCCGACCTATTTGCCGGCGCGAGCTGTGTTCCCAAAGAACTATCAATATTGAGTTTTGAGAGAAAAAGATTTGCAGATAATATTGAGAAGAAAGAAATCTTCGTTGAGAATCAGGCACCTAGATATATTATTTTTTTTATATCTTACACATTTACATACATACACACCCCTCAGTACATACAAGTCGTTTAGTCAAAAGTATGGGACACGAAGGCTGATTAATTTATTTACTTTTAAAAACGTAGAAAAAAAAAGAAAAAGAAATATATAAAAATTCTACTGTAAGATGGCCAAAAGTTTTTGGACAAAGAAAGGGATATATATGATCCCCTTCTCTGCAGATATTTTTTGATAAAACTAATCCAGCAAAACTACAAGCAAGATTGCCTTCAAGTACTTCTTAGATTAAATCATCATAAACTAGTAAGCGATCATTACAGCATGAGCTATAGGAGAGTATTGTTAAATAAACAGATAAGACTTATTAATTATACCCACCAACCAAGTAAGACGCTATACGTGCTAACGTGTATCGTGTTTCGATTAAGTAAGATTAAGAAGCACCTGAATTCAATACCCATAGGTTTTGTGAGTCGGTTCAATCGATTTTCTTCTTCCTTTCATTAACGCTAAATGCGCCGGTAAAGGCATAGGCAAAAAATTCTGCCTTCCTTCTATATTTTTGTTCGTTTTTGATATTGGAAATTACGCTGAATTAATTGTGCAGCTAAATAATTGCAACTTGAAGGTATTTTTTTTGGGATCGATTTTGTGGAAAAGCTTAAACGTGCGCGTGAGTCGACCACAAAGACACTTAACTATTTAAAAAAAAATTAAAAAAACACTAAAGTAAACAGCGCAGCATTAAGTACCCTACGTCACTTCACTTAATACTCTTACCCACATAACAATACCACAAAACACGTCAGGAAGTTACAATCGTTGGCAGTCGAAACTCGCATATCCACCACTATATTTTTCGCATTCTACTCTCCAAGTTCTTTTATTTGACACCCATATCGATGGTATTATTAGGAACAAACTAATCTATGGCGGTTGCGGCGTCTACCGTATTCACATTAAAATTAACCCATTTTTGGGTAATATCTTCATTTGAAGAATGCGAAAAATGGGTATAAACATTCTGTCCTGTAAGCCTAAAATTTCCAAAAAGTGAAAAAATAGAAAATTTAATGTAACTTTGTGTGGGCGTGGTCGATATTTTCCATTCTTGCATGTAAAGAGTAAAGTAAATTAAAGCAAAGTAAATATGGAAATTATCACCATTGTAACTTTTATACATTTTGAGTAATGAGAAAAAACGAAGTTACATTCAGTTTATGGTTAACTGCGGGCTTCTGTTCCGACCAATTTGACCCATTTTCAATACCAAACTGCGTGCAAAAGCTTCCAATGTTTCTACCAAGTCTGAAGTCGATAGCGCTTCATTTTTTCGACAAGGACAACTATTACTGCAACCACTACACAGACGGACAGACAATTAAGAATTTCACACTGATCAAGAATATATATACTTAATAGGATCTCTGAAGGTGTTTTTCGCTCGTTATATACGTTACGAAAAAAGACAAAATGAGCCTTCAGTGATGGCTATAAACAGGCATTCTATAGGAAAAAGTGTTCCAATCCGAAGCATTTTCAATTGTGTTCAACCTTGGCCCAAAACATATCGGTGTACCAAATTTCATCAAAATATCTCAAAAATTGCGGCGTGTACAAAGCGCACGGAAGGTGGGAAGGACAGACAAGATTAGATTGGTTAACAAAATGATTCTGAAATCGATCGGCGCAATAAAAGTTGGATCTATCTCAAGTCTTTCTGCGTCTTGCATACATCCGTCCTTACATTCTTATTACTCTCGTATGCCACAAGTGGTGTAGGTTATAAGAAATAAAATAATCTAAACGAAAAATCGAGAATTTTAGTAAACAGTTAGTCTTGCGTTTCACAAAATATTTTTTATAGGCTTTTTACACTAGATATATAAAAATAAATTTGATTTTGTTTCAATAGTTGTACTGTAGGAGAAAATGCCCGATGCCAACAAAAAATGTGGACTTTGTAGTATTCACAAGGATTTATCTATTGAACACTCTTACAAGTCTTTTCCAAATATTTTAATCGATCTCTTACATACGAACTCAATATGAAATCTATTTATTAAAGCCCTAATAATAACAATAAGACGAGCCTGTCTGCCTTTTCGCATCTTAGAAGAAGAAATCTGTCCTTAAAGTGAAATAAAGCGAATAAATAAAAAAAATATAATAATCACTTCGAGAAAAGTTTTGCTGGAATAATTTTATAAAAAAAAACTTTTTTTTTTGCTTACACGTCAACTTCTTGAGATTATTTTTTCAATCATGTTTTTAATCGTGGTTTTGATTTTTCATCTTTTTATTATTTAATTATTATACTTTAAAAACCCAAGATTTGTGCTCATTATTACTACAAATGTTAACAAATTTTTGATTAGGTTGCTATTTGTTTTAAACATTTTTTCCTCAAAAAAAAAAAAAAAAAACAAATTGTTTTTTTTATTTTCAAACTACATTAAAGCAATCACTTAATGGAAGAAACAGACCTACCTATAGAAAAAATAAAAATAAATAAATAAAAAAGAAAAAGAAACAAACAAAAAACTATGTTCAAATTAATCTAAAAGGATAACAAAAAGTTTAAACCAAATCACTGCAATCATCTCTACAACCACTTAATCGTGTTAATTAATTCAATTTAATGAATGTGTCTTTGCAAAAAAAAACAAGTAAAAAAAACTACACTAAAATCCGTAAACAGTTTATGTAGTTAATGAGTAAAAAAGTTCGAAGATGATTGATAATCACCTATATATAGATGTACATACATACATACACACACACACATATATATATATATATATACACCATATATAAGGGTATACATATATACATATATACATAAACTTCCTAATAAAGTGTGTTTAGATGTTTGCCATCCGTTTAGCTTTTTATGCACACTTTCCACCTGAGTTTCCTTTTCTTTTTTTTAAAAACATAACTTCATTTAAGTAAAAATTAAACGGAGGAAGCAGTCATAACATTATCTCTATGTCGATACAGATGCGGTACACTTTACACAGCGGCATACAAAATATTTTATTTATTAAACGTGCATAAAATCTCTTAACATTTACATCCTATTTATTACATCTACATGAATAATCTCTGTATTCTGTGCTGTGATTGAATTATAAATGAAATAAAAAATCATCTTTAAAAAAAGTAAAAAAAAAAAAATATTGTGTTAATATTTTATTACACGTTTCGGAAAACTACTCCAAACAGCAGGTGGATGCACAACATAGCTGAGACTATTTTTATTAGCTCCAGCCTCGTCGCCAGAGAATAACGTTATTTTGTATTTTAAATGTACCCTAATGTACCCACTTGTGGTACGGGGTATATTAAGTTACTACGTACATATGTAACAGCCACAAGGACTTAAGGTAGACCCACCTTTTATTATACCGATCGATCCAGAATCATTTACTAAATCGATCCAAGTCAATCTGTCCGTCTGATGTCTGTTCACGTATTTTTGTGTTTAAGCGCTGCATCTCGCAATTTTTGAGATATTTTGATGAAATTTGAAGGAACGCTATTGAAAATGGTTCGGATCGGTCTATTTTTTCATAAAAGTGATTAAGTGGTAGTATTTCAGCATTCTAAATTGGTATGAAAACTTTGGACCGGCTGGGTCAGTTTTTTGAACCTCCTGTGTTATAACGGTTTCTAAACCGAGGTTTTATAAGGAAAAAAAGTCGAGTTTCCAATATTTCAAAATTAGCTCATAATAGTAATTTGACGAAATCTACCTTACCGAATTTGGATCACATAGGTCTATTTTTTTGGATACCGCCACATATAAGGATTCTCATGAAACGTAAACCCTTATATGCCAAAATGAAAATTTGCTCATGATAGCATTAAATAAAAAAAATAAGTGAGCTTAATTTGAACCGCATGGGTCTATTTCTTGGCCACACTCGATATAAGATGTCCCATGAGTAGTAAGTCCTTCGGAAAAAGTATTGGAAAGAAAGTTTAACCTTTCAATACACGAATATTATGGTTTTGCACGAAAATGCAAATGTCCTTTTTCATGCATTATTACCAAAACGAGCGAATAGCTGTACTAGGCTACCACGATTGATTTAGGATTAACACACTTAGCTTGCCGCATTCTACTCTCCGAGTCCTTTATATGATATCCATGTCGTTAGTATTATTAAGAAAAAATTAATCCACCAGTTCGCGTTATTGAGGAATGTAGTGAGAAAAAGAAAATTTAATCACTTGCAACTTTGCACGTCAAGAGTAGCGTGTTTCGTAAAGTATTATTATTATTATTATTATTATTATAATTATTATTATTATTATTATTATAAATTCAGCCAGAGAATAAATTTTAAAGCTAAAGCCTTAAAGCACTAGCATCTAAAGCCTTAAAGCACTAGCATCTAAGGCTTTCGGCTTTATTAAAAACTCCACCGCACTTGAAATTTGAAACTACGACTAGTCGAGACTCTTGCCTACTCGGCCACTCAGGGGGATTTTCATAAAGTAATGATTATTTTTGTTTAGAAAAACGTTCAAATTACGCTCCACTAAAGTCTTCTGTGCTAACCAAATTTGCTCATTGTCAATACCAACCTGGGTCAAAAACTTCCAATGTTTTTACCAAATTTGAAGTCGATATCTTCACTTTTCAACAGATTGCCTTTAGCACATATCACACAGACGAACAAACATGGCTTAATAAATTCAGAAGTTCATGCTGATCAAAACTATACCATATACCTTATAAGGTCTCTGAAGCTTCCTTTTGAGTGTTGCATACATTATGAAAAAATAAAACAAAATGACAAATACCTCCATCCTAAAGTGGTGGGTATAATAAGACGACGAGATAGGTCCCCAACCAGCGACTATATGTCGTAACGTAACAACATTTAAGAATAAGTTTCTATGCTTTATAAAGAAAATTGATGAAAAATATTTATTTAACTTGTAAATTGTGGGGTACATAGGTATACTTTTCAGACTATTTTTCATATTGACGAAAATTATTGAAAAATATTAGTGAAATACAAGACAAAAAGAAGTTTACTTTATTTCTTTTTTTTTTTCAGTCGAGCCCTAAGGCCGTAGGTTCAAATGTCAGGAGCGATAGAATTTTCAATAAAACTGATAGCCTTAGATGATCAATTAATCGTAACAATAATAATAAAGTAAATAATTTTGCTTTCAATTCGGAGCAAGTTAGTTAATGATTTGGGGTTTTACGTCAAATAACAAGAAGATCTAATTTTCGTCTCTTTGATGACTAAGGCAGTTGAAGAATTGC